CGATTGAGGATAATTGTATCGAAATATTAATTTGTTCTGCATCTTCCATTTCTTAAACATTGAGGCGGAAAAAGTAAAATTAACAAAATTATATCAGGCAAAAATATAAGACGTTCTGAAAGGCATGGATAAATTCTACAAGCATCTGAAAAGCAGTACACAACTTAGAAACCAATAATGTCAATTCTTTTAAAAATTAGTTTTTCGTGGATTCTACAATGAGTCAATTATTGACGTTAAACCTTTTTTGGATTCGCGCAACCATATAGAATTTATCGTGAGTAACAATTTTCACTCAATGTCTACTTCGTTCTGTTTTCTTCTTGCGTTTTTGAGCTTTCCTATTATAAACAACTTTGACCTTGGCAGGTCACCAATTTTTTGCTAAATTTCCGCTCTAAAGCAAGGCCATGTGACATAGTGAAGTGTTTCTTATCGACCAATTTTGTCGCCATCATTAGTGTTACAAAAGCTGTCACGAAATTCAACATTACATTCCTGGAGCGGTGAGCGGTCCGTACAGAATTTACCCGATGTCAAATGCTGAGCCAATTGAAGTATACTGTGAACTTGACATTAAAGGAGGCGGATTCAGTTTCCTCCCTCACAACCTCACTCTTAGATCAGATGCTGAGCAGATTGTCGACGCTCTCTTCCAAGACAAAAGAAACGTTTTGCTCAAGTTGAAGAAAAAGATTGACAGTAGCGATTCGTACACTTTGATTCAGCCCCACCCCAATTACACTGACATCGATTTTGGCGTTTTAGCCAATAGCTACTCAGGGTACACTCAGCCAAAGAACGAATTCATGAAGGAATACATATTCCTTGGAATACTTCCGAAGTCAGTTGCGGACAAGAAAACATTCCAGGGTTTTAGATCTAACGGTATCAGATTACAGTTTAAGAACTGTGACGGCAATCCCAACAGCTACTTTGCATTTTTTCCGAACCGTTATCATCAACCACCACATGATCATAGCAAGACGTCAGTCTATGAAAATAAAGGACTCGCGGTAAACTGGCGCTCCCATGCCAAACCTGTCACGAGTGGCGGTCTGAAAATGCCAAATAGGTTCTTTTTCCTGACAGAACTACATTTTGGTGGCTGTGGCTGCTGGACTTCAAGCGACCGGTGGAAGCAATTTGGTTACAATGCCACTGCCATTGGAATTCGTTAGACATACATTTACTGTTCTTTACCATAATTATCATCGAAGGAATCCTTACAACAAACCTATAGATGTAAATC